AAAAAAAAAAATATATATATATATATAACACACACACACACACACACACACACACACGTATATACATATATATATATATATATATATATATGTGTGTGTTTGTGTGTGTGCGTATATATATATATATATATACTGTACATATACACACACACACACATATATATACATATATATATATATATATATATATATATATATATATGTGTGTGTTTGTGTGTGTGCGTATATATATATATATATATACTGTACATATACACACACACACACATATATATACATATATATATATATATATATATATATATATATATATGTGTGTGTTTGTGTGTGTGCGTATATATATATATATATATACTGTACATATACACACACACACACATATATATACATATATATATATATATATATATATATATATATATATGTATATATATGTGTGTGTGTGTGTATATGTACAGTATATATATATATATATATACGCACACACACAAACACACACATATATATATATATATATATATATATTCAGCTTATTTTAGTTAGTTGCCAAGGCAATATGTCAAATTATAAAAAATTATTTTAGAATGTTTTTATTTTATTTTAAGTATTTCATGTACTTGCAATGCTTTACCCTCATTGTTGCCCACATACAAAAAGATAAGTTTAAGTTTAAAGTTAAATAGTAAGTTATTGAAATTTTCACTAATTAAGAAGGTTGTGTGTGTGTGTGTGTGTGTTTCTTATAGTCAGGGAATATAGTCTGTAACACTGAGACGTGTCCTGAAATTGCCTGTAATTTGGTGGAGACTGTAGGTGGGCAGTGCTGTCCCAGGTGTCGAAGTAAGTGTGTTGTGGACTTTTTCTACATTTTTGTCCATTTTAATGACAAGTGACTTAAGTTAAGATTGTCTTTAGAAACTCATACTTATCAAAAGATTTTTCCCTTGATATGAAGGTTGTGTCCAGGAGAATGTGCGGCACCAACACAGCTCTCAGTGGAAGCTTCCTAATGACCCCTGCACGACCTGTACATGCACGGTGGGGCTTCACCTGTTACCGAGCTGTTTTTGGCCCATCAGTGTTTTATTCTATAAATATAATTTTTCTCTTTCTCTCTCTATAGTTGGGTCTGGTTCAGTGTGAGAGTGAGCGCTGTAATATCCGCTGTAATAGCCCAGCCTCTCCTCCTCCTGGATCCTGCTGTCCTGTCTGTGACGGTGTGTCCAACCTTTTAAATATGATACATTAATACTGTTTAAAACATTTAAAAACCAAAGAACAGTTGAGAACATGTAATCAAAATTCTGTCAGTTTACTTTTTTGATACATACTGGATGGTATTCCAAGAAAAAAATGATTGTCAGAGTTCACCAATGCCATGATAGGTCTACAAGTTATAACAACAAACATTTATAGAAAGGCTAGGAATATATTGCTTTGGAAAGAAGTGTCTTGGCTATTTATACTTCAAATTAGTTCGATACATTTATTTCTCACAGGTTGCAGTTTGAATGGAATAGATATCCCGAACGGGATGACTCTGCCGCCAGGACCCACATGTGATCCCACGTGTAAATGTGAGGTAAGTTGCGTAAGAATCTGCTTTGCAACTTTTGTTTGTTTATAATTTCTACTTACTTTGTGTTTTATCATATTTTATTGTTTTATTTTATTTTATTTTATTTTATTTTATTATTATACAAATGTTTTTCAATACTTATATTTTTGTTTATAAACTGCTTGACTGTTATTAATATGTACAGTTTTTATTAATTAATTTAAATTATTTATTCATTTTGTTTTGTTAAAATTTTTCAAAACTTGCATTTTTGTTTGTAATCTGCTTCTTCACTGTCATTTATACAGCATGTAATTTTTGTACATGTATTTTTATTTAATTTTCGGTTTTAAAATATTTTTAATATATTTTATTTTTTGTGTAGAATCTGCTTCACTGTCATTGATATGTACTTTTTAAATTTTTCAGTACTTATATTTTTGTTTATATACTGCTTCAGTGTCATTAATACGTAATGTTTTTATTTTTTAATTTAATAAAAAAGTTCTTAAATTTCAAAAAAAAAATTCATTATTTTTATCTTTGTAATTGATATGTAAATTATTTTATTAATTAATTTTTAATTATTTATTAATTTTATTTTATTGTTCTCAAAACTTGCATTTTTGTTTGTAATCTGCTGCTTCACTGTCATTGATATGTAATTTCAATTTCAATTTAATTTAATTTTATTTTATTTTATTGGAGAATAGAGGAAGAGTTAAATATAACCCTTTTATTTTATTTTATTGGAGAATAGAGGAAGAGTTAAATAACCCTTTTATTTTATTTTATTGGAGAATAGAGGTTGATATGTAATTTCAATTTCAATTTAATTTAATTTAATTTTATTTTATTTCCCAGAGAATGCATGAACTGATAACATTTTTACTCTGAATGCAGTGTAAATCACTTTGAATAAAAGCGCCAAATAAAAAAAATCTCAAATTGATTTGGATGAAATGGTTTTCTAAAATGAAAAATAATTACTTTTTTTTTCACAACTTTTTTTTTCAGAATGGAAATATTAAATGCGTTCAGTACCCACCCTGCCCACCGACTCCCTGTCATAATCCAGTCAGGAGACCAGGAGAATGCTGTGCACGGTATCATCATTTCATCACACTTTTTTTGCTAGAAGAGTAAACAAGACAGAGGTGAAACACTCTATTTGATTAATCAGTTCTGTGTGTTGGTGTTGGTGTTCAGATGTGAGGAGTGCACTCACGAGGGCGAGGCGTACACAGACGGTCAAACCTTTGTGTCCAGACAGGATCCATGCTTAAGATGTCAGTGCTCGGTGAGTGTTTACTAAAGTGTTTACTATATATATATGATCATGTGAATGTATTTGTTTGTGCATGTATGGGTATATCTTATGATGCAGGGTGGACAAGTGTCGTGTGAATCTGCAACATCTTCATGTCCGTCTGCGAGTTGCACGCACCCAACAAAACCACACGACCAGTGCTGTCCAACTTGTAACAGTAAATAAGCATGCAAACATCTTTCTTCTAAGACAGATCTTTCTTTCTCTGACATGCAACATAATTAAAAAAGACACAGAGTTGTCCTGGATTTAAGACACAAATACTGATGTGTTTTTACTGTGTTGCAGCTTGTGAATATGAAGGAAGGGTTTATGAAAATGGACAAGATTTCAGGCCTCCCGGTGGAGGTCCATGCATCCAGTGTTTATGCAAGGTGAAACACAGACACACACTTGGGGCCCTATTTTAACGAACTAAGCGCATGGTCTAAAGTGCACGGCGCAGGTGCACTCAGGGCGTGTCCGAATCCACTTTTGCTAGTTTAACGACGGGAAAACGGTCGGCGCCTCCGGGCGCATGGTCTAAACGGGTTGTCTCTATTCTCTTAATGAGTAATGGGTGTTTTTGGGGCGTAACGTGCAATAAACCAATCAGAGTCTCATCTCCCATCCCCTTTAAAAGCCAGTTGCACTCGTGCCATGGCGGGTTCGAATATGTAATTTTTCATTTTTAAAAATGTTTGTGTGCTGCTGCACCCTGTGTGTGTAATAAGCAAAGTGTACGTGCGTTGTGCACCTGCCTATAGGCGCATATTACTAACGCGCTCTTTAAATAACAAAGAAAAAATATTGTGCCAGACTTTAGACCAGGTTTGAGTTGGTCTATGGCGCATCTCGCATCCCCTTTAAAAGCCAGTTGCACTCGTGCCATGGCGGGTTCGAATATGTAATTTTTCATTTTTAAAAATGTTTGTGTGCTGCTGCACCCTGTGTGTGTAATAAGCAAAGTGTACGTGCGTTGTGCACCTGCCTATAGGCGCATATTACTAACGCGCTCTTTAAATAACAAAGAAAAAATATTGTGCCAGACTTTAGACCAGGTTTGAGTTGGTCTATGGCGCAGTCTATTTTCAGTTCCTCAAAATAGCAACGTGCCAACAATGCGCCTGAACACACCTCTTTTTTAGACCAGCACGCCCATGGGCGCACAAATGGGCGCAAATGCATTTGCTATTTAAACAATGTGGCGCAGGACGGGAAAATGAGAACTGCGTCGGGCTGAAACTAGCAAAAACACTTGCGCCGCACCTTGTGCCACATTGCGCCGGGTGTATGATAGGGCCCATCAAGTGAAAAGAGCTACTGTCAATTCAGTTTCAAGCAAGGATAATCAATGAAATTACTGTGATTATACAATGAATTATTATTTTTTATTTTGTCAGTGATTTCGACAATTTTTTTTCAATTGAATTAAAGATAAAGTTGACATGTTTAAATGAATAAATAAAATGGTAAAATATTTGTTTTATTTTGCTTAAAATAAAATGTTGACTTAAAATGATATAGCATTATTGGCTAAAATTGACGAATATGACATGACAAAATTTTAAGTAAATTAAAAGAATATTTTTAAAAACAAAAAGCTGGGCAAAACAAAAAAACAATTGTCCAAAAAGGACAATTCCATATGACTTGTGCACTATGTATTTTTATGAAGTCTTGTATTGGCTTCATCTCAGGAACATGACAAAAACTTGACACATAAAAGCTGGTCATGCTAGGTTTGACGTCACTTAAGTCATTGATTCTTGTGTAACATTATATTGTTTTTTTTTTTGTTAGAATGGTAACGTGAGATGTCATCAGGAAAGATGCCCACTTTTGAGCTGTGCAGTTCCCACTCCAGCCCCTCTTAACACCTGCTGTCCAGTGTGCAGCGGTAAGACATTCTGCAGTACATACTGCTGCCACTAACTTTAACATGAAACACATTCTCTCATACAGTACCATTCAAATGTTTGGGGTCAATAATTTGTTTTTGAAAGAAATTAATAATTTAAAATGTTTAAAAGTGACAGTAAGGACATTTATATTGTTACAAAAGATTTGTTTCAAATAAATGCTGTTCTTTTTAGCTTTCTATTCATCAAAGAATCCTGAAAAATGTATGACAGTTTCCACAAAAATATTAAGCAGAACGACTGGATGATAGTAAATGTTTCTTGAGCACCAAATTAGCGTATTAGATTGATTTCTGAAGGATCATGTGACACTGAAGACTGGAGTAATGATGCTGAAAATTCAGCTTGGCATCACAGGAATAAATTATATTTTAAAATAAAATCAGAAAGAGTTTTTTTTTTAATTGTAATAATATTTCACAATATTACTGGTTTTATTGTATTATTAATCACATAAATGCAGCCTTGGTGAGCATTAAAGATCTTCCAAAATAAGGGTGTCACAATATACCGGTACTGACGATAAACGTGATATTTAAAAAGTGCAATATCGTTATCGTGTTAATTAGGGGTGTGGTGATACACCGGTACTGACGATAACTATGATATTTGTGACCCTGGACCACAAAACCAGTCATAAGTAGCACAGGTATATTTGTAGCAGTAGCCAGCAATACATTGTATGGGTCAAAATTAGGGCTGCACGATAAATCGCATGCGATATTTAATGCGCATCTTGTCAGAAAGCCGGTTCTGTAATCAGCGGTAAATCTCCATCACCTGCGGGCTTTCACATTGAACAGCATTAACTACACAGAGCCGCTGTTCACTGACGAGCTGCTCAAAACCACGTTCATATTTGCGCGATTTTTTGCGCAGCTCGTCAGTGAACAAATATATATAATTTATATTATTTAATATAACATTTTTGTTATTTTTAATAATATATCGTTATTGTTCATTCTTTTGGCCACGATAATTGTGTGGTGAAAAAATTTATATCATGACAGCCCTAAAGATATTTAAAATATCTTACCGACTCCAAGCTTTTGAACAGGAGTGTACATGTTCATTGCATTCTGTGTCCATATATATAGGATGTACATGGAATGGTGTTCAATATGAAGAAGGAGCCACATGGACTGACGCTGGCCAAACATGTTCTTGTGTGGGTGGACAGGTGACGTGTAGTAGGCCTAAAAGGGGCTCGGACTGTCCCAAACCGACCCCCGCACCCTTCCCAAATCCCCCAGGTAAGAGAAAGAAAATAAATATGAAAGACGGGGAGAAAAAACAGTGGCAATGTTCCAAACCCAAATGAGTTGTCTCTGTGTCTTCATACTGTACATCATTCAGCTTTTAGATTATGTATTAATGTGTAAATAAAAAAATTGACCCTTATGACTGGTTTTGTGGTCCAGGGTCACATTTCAAAATGAGAAGTAGACACTGGTCAAACACGTCATTTATGTTTCATTGATACTCGACGCCGGAGGGCGCCCTCACACAGAAAGTCCACAAGCAAGACTCATAGGAGTGATAAAACAAATGACATTCCAGGAAATCCCTTATATGGACAATGGCATCCAGCTATGGCTGTAGCTGAATACAATGCAGAAAGAAATGTTATGACTGATGAAATGTGAACAGAATTAACATATGATTGCAACAGTATATGGTTTATCTGTGTTCTTCAATCCATCTCTGTTATTATTCATAAGGATTATGTATATTTAAAATGTAATGCTAACCGACACAGTCTTTATCACTGAATAGACTTCTATAAAATAGTTTAATTTCTGCCGCATTCTGTGATAAGAACACATCAGTTCACAGAAGAACATTCAAATACTCATATACAGTATATATATATATATATATATATATATATATATATATATTATTAATATAATTTAAATTTATA